TTCTCTGTTGGTGCTCTGTTCTGTTTTCCACAAAGACCCTGTTTTTTAATTACAGTAGCACTAAGGACCTATGGGCCTCTAATTGCAAGCGAGAGGTGTGTGATTTATGGGGGTGGGAAGGTCTGGGCTCAGCAGAATGGCTCCATGGTGGGCCCCTCGGGGTGGGGGGGGGTGTAGGTATATCAAAACTGAGCCCCACTCCCCCGACAAGCAGTAAGCCGTGACAGCCAGAGATGGGAGGAGGGGTCAAGCAGGAGAGCAGATCACCCCCCCCTCCCCCCCCCCTTGGCTTCTGACCACCCTGTCCCCCCCTCTGTCCCACAGCTGGCGGGGAGCACTACCTTTTTGGCAGCATCACCGCGGTCTCCGTCCTCAGCATCGTGGCCCCTATCGGTAGGTGTGGTCTCCGTCTGCAGTCACACAGTCCTGGTCTTTCTGTGGTTCCTGCTTCCTGGCCAAACCTACACAAACGCACGGGTGCAGACATCAGAAGCAGAAGCGTAGCGATTCCGGTGGGACTTTTCATCTGAGCTCAGTGTTTGTCGGTATAGAGGCTGGGTCTCCCTTGGGAGTCGTCGTTGCGGCGAAACGTTACGCGAGGCGCAGTTTAGACTCTTTTCTAGAACGGCTCGGAACATAGCCTCATCTGTATTCTTTGCTCGTTCTGTTTGAGGCTTCTGCTCTGTTTGAAGGTATGTTAGCTATGGTATCTGTAGCTTATAGCTTGTGGTATGCAAATAAAAATGATGCGTTTGAGTACTCACACCCTACCTGGGCAGACAAGCTATTAACTAGTCAGGCGTTGGTAAGTTTGAAACTTTGGGGTAATTTCTCATTAGCATAGATGTGTGAAATCGCATAAGCAAAAGGCATAGGAGCGGTAAACATTTCCTTGTTCATTTTTGCACATAATTGAGCTTAAAAGTTAAAATATATTTTTATTAACTAAGTAATGATTGTGCTAATGATTCTTTCACCTGCACCAGAGTCTGCGTTAGAACAGTGTAAATGTGTGTTCCTTACTGTCTGGAGCATGTGGAAGCCTATAAATCAGGAAGATCTTTCTTGGTTCTTATGAGAGGGTGGGGTACATCTCAGGTCCCCTTTGAGGAGAAGAGGTGCTTAAGCTGGACTGTGAGTCTGTTTAAATGCAGAGAGAGGCGACCAGGGTGTTGAAACTGAGTCCACTGTTCACTGCTTTTATTTCTTCTTGTACTTCCTGCTCTGAATGACAACATGTCCCGCCCATCCCTGATTTGCATGGGATGCCCCGCTGTTTGCATGCGATCTCCCACTTCCCGTGGCCTCTAACCTCACCGTTATTGACCGCAGTGGTCGTCGGCCTGCTCTGCACTGCCGGCTACCTCACCTGGCGTAACTGGCGTCGGAGGAACACAAAGAGCATGAACTTCGACAACCCCGTGTACCGCAAGAGCCCAGAGGAGGGTGACGACGAGATCCACATTGGCCACGTGTACCCTGCAGTGAGTGGAGGCGTCCGCCGGCCCTTCGTCGCCCTGCCACTAGGGGGCGGCGTCCCAGACTCCAGCTCTCACTGGTACTCGGCACAACCGATGCTCTGCAGTACTAAGTGATGCCTGTGGGGGGGCGCACTTGAGGGGGGGGTGGGGAGGCAGTACTCTGAGCCACTGCGCACATTTTTCATGCCTCTTGGCAAACCTTCACTGATGTGTACGAGGTTTGGGGCAGAGAAGGCGGGGTTTGCTTAGGGTTAGCGTGTGTCAGATGTACGTTTTAATCCTGTGTTCCTCTCATTGTCAGCTTTGAAATCAGACCTGTTCGCGTTATCCTCAGAAAACAGGAAGTGAATGCAGTAAAGCACCTTAGATGACAGGACAATCTGTAACCATGGCTGTCGATGTCTTTATATTCCTATTTATTTAAGGATAAAATACGATCATGAAGGATCTTTTTTTTTTTTGCTGCCATGGTCTATGAAAGGGGGAGGGGGGAGGGGTAGCTCTCCTTGCTGCTATTGGCCGGTGAGCGCATGGCTAATGAGGGCAGGCGTGGACACGCCCCTCAATGGGATGGTCGCTGGGGTGCTGCGTGGGGTCAGGCGTTCAGGGTGTGAGTCACTCCGCTTCATATAAACCTCTGACCCCTGACCTATTGCCCATTAGTGCCGGCGTTGGCGTTTTGGTGCCGGTTTGGTTCCCCGCTTCAGCTTGAGGTCGCACTCCCCCTCTCACTCTCTCTCTCTCTTCACCACTCCGACATTAACAGGCCTCTGTCTGCTCTCTCCAGCGGGTGGCGCTCCGTCTGGATGATGACGGGTTGCCCTGAGGAGTGCCCCGTGTGCACGACCCCCCCCCCCCCCCCCGCCCACCTCAGTCGATCGCCGTCTCCTGGGGAGACGACAGCCAGCCGCGCACAAGTGCCGAGGGTCGGGAAAGCATGCTGGCCAGCTCATACCGACCACTAGGGGGCGTATGTATTTTATTGTCCTTAAATTATACCTGTCATTCACTCTTTCCCTAGCAAGTTATTTATTTATTTAACTTAGATGACTACTGCTACTACTGGATGACTACTAATACTACTAGTACTACTACTACTAGTTAGTCTCCACCCGCGACACTACTGATTGCACTCCTGCATCCCGCTGCCCCTGAGCGATGACGCAGAGGTTCCCGTTAGAGGTTCCCGGGTCTCGGGTGCGAGGACTACCACGATTAGGCAGCTGTATAATCGGTCATGTTGGGCATCCGTCTTGATGCACGAATGTTGAAGTGACAAATCACATTTCATGGGAAGGTTCTGGAAAAGCGAGCCGCGAGAGGTTTGCGGGCCCTGGCAGCACCGTGTCCTGGTATCTCAGCGTTCAGTGGCTGACGCGGAGGCTGTGATTGGCAGGTTAATTCAAAGGCCGTGTTTAATACAAAATGCTGACCTTTTGGGTTTTGTGCAGATTTAAAATGAACTTTGCTTGATAAGCGGATCTGCTGCACAGGGGACTCTGGAGTCATTTGAATTCTTCCATGGGAGAAGAGAACTAAATAAAAAAAAGCAACAAATATGGGGGTTGTATGTAACACGGGCCGAAGAACCCGATTCTGACTTACTTGCCCTGGCCCCTCTCTGTCCAGCAAAGGGCAGCACTAAATCCACCAGCTCTTCCAACATCAAACCCACAACATCAGATGTCTTCCATCTGTATGCGAGGCACATTCAGCTCCTCAGCTACCGAAAGCAATGTTTTCAAAGTCACACTTCAGACTGGAGTCTGGTGCGAGCCAGGTGGATTATGGGATTCGTAGTACCGTGAGTTATTGACTTAATCCATGAGCATGAAAAAGTTCACAAACACAGCACCTCCCTTGGCAGCGGAGTCTTTGTTACACGAAAGAGAGTATTTATTTTTCTGGGTGTACAGCTTTGTCTTTATATTTTTCATACTTTGACACGTGTATTTCTACCAGTATGTGCTGAGTAGGGTTTTGTCCTGTGTATCTGTGAGGTACTAAAGGTTCCCCGGAACTAAGACGGCAGAAACTCGGTTCTCCACGTCGGTGTGAGATGCCTGATTTATTTAGCGGTCTGGGATCGATGAGTCTTTGCTGCAGTGTTTTGTAATTATTCTGATTATCATCACTTTTATAATTAAATGGAAAGTAATATATATGCAAAGCATTAAGGTCACACGCTGCTGTGGTCGTCTTGTGCTCAGATTTGCCACAGAGCGGATTGATGCAGGTCAGGCTGTAGCTGGAGGTAGACAATGAGCAGGGGGGGCAACTTTAAAATGCCCTCGTGATGCAGTTTGTACCACAGAATCATGTTTGAAGCGGTGCCAGTGAACCGATGAACCGATAATGAACCATAGTACACATTTAAGCCATTCCAGATTCTGTGCGTCAGAGAGCTCGCGGTAGCCATGTTGGATCACGTTACCCAAGCCCATTAGCCAAGCACCGCATGGCATTCTGGGAAAACTGCTGCTTGTTTCTCTTTCAACTGGGAAGATAAGGCTTTAGCCTGTGATTCTGTGTTATTTTTACATTTACGTTTTTTGCCATGGAAGCTGGGAGTCTGTAGCAGAATCGGAGGCACTTTCTGTGTCTGTGGCCTCACTGAACGCCATCCACCTGTCACTGGAACCAAGGGGCGGGGCAGTTAACACGAATCTCTGTTAGAGCTGATTTATTATTCGTCACAGTGGGTGTTTACAGTGATGCCGTGAATCAGAGGACGACATAGCGAGGCAGGATTCCGTAAGATCCAGGTTGAAACCAGCCGGTTTCTCTCGCCGCTTTGGCAGGCCGCGTGTTTGTGTGTGTGCGTGGTCACACGTTTGCTTGTCCCTGGCTCTCGTTGATAGTACCTGTCCGTGTTTATCAGAAATAACTCGCTGGCTTGTTGGTCCGCCATGGGGACGCCGTGAGGAGGATTCTTGTAGAATGGGCCTCATTCCAATGTCGCGGAGCATGATTTGTCAGATGCAGGACCCCGAGGCTTAATCAAGCGCCCCCCACCCCCCGCATGCTTCACGGATGGGGGCAGCCAACAGCCAATCCTCTGTAGATAGAACTTACCAGTAACTGGTCACACCCCTCTCTCCCGCTTCACGCTTCTGTAGCAGGTCGACCATGTTGCTTCTCCTCCCCGCTCTGTCACTAACCGCCCCCAGCGTGTCACCAGACCATCATCTCCATCGCTGTTAACCCATTGTTATTCGAAGGGCTACCTTTCTGAAGTTTGACATTCGAAAGATTGGGGTGGGGGTGACCTGATCCTGATTTGAATCCCTTGGAATTTGGTTGGGCCTTTTTTTTTTTTTTAAACCCACAAACCAGCCGCAGATGATGTCACCTGATGACACACGTTGGTCCACGAGATCCCCACTTACTCCTCTGTGTTTTGTGAGTCATGCCCCTGCTGTTCCTGCAGCCTTTCTCATTTGACGTGTATTACTTGAAAAACACAGTCCAGGCTCCTCTTCTGAACCCGTCGATGTAGATTTGGGGGGGGGCATGGGACTAGCGTGTCTTTGGGGAGGGTCATCTGTACGATCATTCCACAGCCATACCGGGAACATTTTGTATGCCGTTCGTTGCACAAACTTTTCAAAATGCCTTCTGCACTGTGTAAATGACAACGTGGGAGGGGGGGGGGGGGGGGTTAGTTTGGAGGCTGGAAGGGGCACTGATTGTTGCAGACAAATGGTTTTGAATCATGACTTGTAAATACTTTTTCTTACTGCAAAGATTTTGATAATGTTTTAAACATTTCTGTAAAGAAAATCTGTGTGTATATGAACTTCTAGGAGAGAGTGTAGACCATATATGAATTTATTTGTACACAAGAGCCCTGGATTTATTTACTACTTGATTGTAACTCAAATTAATAATCTACCAAAGTGTTTTGTCTGCATTTTAATTTTTCTTTTTTTTTTAACATGTGATAGAGATTCAGTAGGGTCTGGTTTTCTTTAATATATTTGGTTGTGTTAAAACATGACTTCTTAATTTATTGGTGCCTTGTTTGTGTTGATGTGAATTCCACTGGATTTGTTTTTTTTTGTGTGTACATATCTGTTGGTAGGCAGGAAAATGGGGGGGGGGTCGTACTTGGCAACTTCTGTACTCACACTGGATACCCGAACTGAATGCCAAAAGGTCTCACTCCTCTTTCTACAGAATCAAGCTGTTCATAAATATCTATATATATTCATATATTAAATTTATAAAAATCGCATTTCTGTGTTTTTTTCTTGTTTTATTCTCCTGTGTCGCTGTTTATTGAGTGTGTGGCCGCGTGGGTGACCAGCGTAGTCCATGTTAATTCACTGGCTCTCGATTTGAAATGCATTTTGTGTTTTTAGGTTCTGCTTCTATCGACCAGCCTGATATCACGGTTCCTTCCCTCCTCATGGAAGCAGCCTAAGTGCATTATGTGTGTTTCTCACCCTCGCAAGCATCTGTTTTATTTTCCATGGTTTTATTCTTTGCTTTGCTGTGTTGCCCCCACCCACCTTTCACCCAAAATGGGACGACCTCACCCCAGTAAGCCTCTCATTCCCACCCTCCTACCCAGGTTACATGGTAATGTCTGGCACCCCCCGGAAAACCATAGACCTTCCAAGAGGATTTTCAGGTATCACCATCTTAGCGGGTATTTTTATACAAACCACATTTTCGGCTCAGTTACAGGTCTCCAGGTGCCAAATCTGCACATGCTGTGTTGGGGTGTTTCCTTTTCTCTGTTTAACATCCATCTTCCGTAGCTGCTTATCCAGTCCAGGGTGACGGTGAGCCTGGAGTCTATCCCAGAATGCATAGGGCACGAGGCAGCGGACAACTTGGAGAAAATGCCAGCAAACTGCTGGACACGGACACACACACACACACACACACACACACACACACTCTGCAGGCACTTTAGAAAAACCAATTCACCTGACTGCTGGCCTTTCTGGGAGTAAACAGGATTGTTCAGAGGTAACACACTCAACATGTGAACTGGATCTATGTTCGCAAGAATGTGTTATACTATATGTGATAATATTTCCTTTGTTGTATGTTTTCATAAGGGGGGAGGGGTAACAAACGTCTTCTGAGTGGCACAGAGCTTGAGCTCCCCCCAGTGGCAGAGGTGCGAAGCAGCCTGCCCATCTCTCTCTTCTTAATGTCCACCTAAGCGGGTGTGTGAGTGTCGCGGGTGTGTGAGTGTCGCGGGTGGGCAGGGAAGGCAGCACAAAGCCCTTTAAAGGAGCCGCCAGCTGCCGCTGTGACTGGCCCGGACTGCTGGAAGCCTCTCTCCGCACAGCAGCTGCCACTGGACCTGCCCTGCATGTTAAGCACTTCCGTTGTAATTAGTTGTCAGCTGTTTGCCAACAGACCCATTGAGCGCGAGGAAAGCCGGGGGATGGGGTACGGCATCTCCCACTGCATGGCACATCACGCTAATGCCAGACATCCAGCAAAGTCTTCCCACCTGTGGTTCCTGCACCGCCTCATTCAGGAACCGTTCAATCAAGCACCATCCCCTTCACAAGGCGATTTGCACTTGTAGTCTTGATTGTCCCTGAAAGTTCAGACTCCGGATTGTCTTCTCATATTCAAGGAACAGCTGTGTGTGGCGTTTCTAGTCCTGCCTTCCCAGAGTTAAGGTCGTCAGAAATCAGAACGACCTGCAATTGAAATTAGCGAGTATTTAAGATCTCCTGTGGCTGGCCCTTCACTGGTGATATAGATGGGTGTTCCAGTGTGCTGTGGGTCATTTGTGTTCTTGTCGTCGTTCATTCATTCGTAGGGAAATGCTCTGTGGAGCTGCTCTTAGCTGCATTTCAGACGTCTACTGTGCGTACATTGTACGTTCCCTTCTTAAAGCTTATATTCCCCATCGACATTTGTCCATATTATTATTCCATACGGTGTGAAAGCAGCAGAGGACAGTGGGTGGCGCTTCGCGCCGGCCGGCCGTCCGTCCCCGCTGCGGTTCCCAGGGCGCTGAGAGAAGCTCCGTTTGCGCTGCGGCGTGAAAGGCGGCGCTGTCTGCGGGATTCGCCATTATTCCCACATGAAAAGGGGCCCGGTATTAGTATTCAAAAAACACGCTGCTACCCGCTGAGCTTAAAAGTAGGTAAAGCAAGACGATTCGGTGCACCTTTTGAAAAATAATAATGGTTTTGAATGAATAACTTTTAATTTAAGCAAAAGCGGTGGAGTTTTGTTGTCCGTACTTGTGAGCAGGGGGACATTTGACCCGCCCGCAATGCTCGCACCGCACTAAGCTTCCTAACAATTTATGTAGCGTTTTGCAAACCTTTTCTCCTAATAGGTCGCCTGATGTTCCACTATAATGTTGGTCCACAGGCGTCCGCGCTTCCGCACCCACAAGGCGCGCACGTGAGATTATCTTTTGGCGTAATAGCGCCATCGTCTGGACACGACCTAAATATCCAAAACATCCATATAAAGTTTTTTTTTCCATTAATCGATAACAAGTCGGCTGAGATGCAACTACGTTAACCTTAAGTTTTATAACACGATTGAACCGGGACCATCTATATGTTAAGTAATTCATATGACTGCCAGCTTGGATGTTTAGTAATTTTATTTATGTAATCGTTGTTTAGTTTTATATACTACATAGTTTCAAAATGGTCCGGTTGTATGTTTCTGCTTGCTTATATACATTATCGGAATGTTTAACCGTACTAGCTGTTCTGTCACGCTAATTTGTGTTGAAAAGACATTGTAACCCACGGTTATCTTCAACTGGTAAGAGCTGTAGCCTGTTATTCGTTAAATAATGGAATAATTTCTGCAATTACCACTGAATCTCAGCGTTTATTACTGTTTTAGAGCACATATTGGGTGAACAGTTATTTAACAGTTATTGGTTGAATAATATTGCTTCATGTTAGCAATCTAACGTTGTGACACATTAGTTTTCTCTGTAGATGCGATATATTGGGGAAAACGAGGTTTTCTATTCATGAAATTCTTGTAGGATGTATATTATTGAATTTCTTAGTCCGGGGGCGTGTGTATTTGTGCTGATTACTTCAGGTAGTGGCTTGGAAACAAGAAAAAATGTCAGTCAGAGAACAAAAGACTTTTGCAAAACAATATTTAATATATTCATTTCACATTGATAATGCACTGAAATACCGGGATGAATTACCAAAAAGTATATACTTTTTCTTTGTACTTATTAATTCCCTTTTATAGTATAAGTCATAACACACACACTTGCAAATGCATTATATTTTTGTTTGACTTTAATAGGTATGACTTAAGACCTGGGAGACTTCTGTTTTAAACAAAACAAAATCCAAAAAAGGTAATAAAACTTTCCGTATTCAAAAATTACAGTTTCTAGGTAAGAGAGAACTTGGTAGTGGGTGGGGTTAAAACGGAATAACCCCCGCATTAATATATTTCTACATTCTGTTTGCCAAGCATTTTATTTAGTGACAGATACTTAGACAAACCACTTACTAACATATTTCCAACAGCACTGAATAATTAGTTTATGCGCATGTTAATAATTGATAAAAATAAATATTTTAAGTAGAATATTTTAAAATAGTATAAAACAGGGTTAACCAAAATATGTGTATGTTCTGTACACGGCTATTCATGGATCCCTCTGCATATAAACACACCGGGGGAAAAAAAAAATCTCATCTCAGACAAACACATAACTCATCGGATTGTCTGTGCATGTGATTTGTAGAAGGATACGATGAATATTCATACTGAAGGAAAAATGCATCGACTCTCGAAATAAATTCCCGACAATAAAAACCGGGTGGCGTGTTCTGGCAAAAGTGCAGTATTGGCTCAAATGACACAAACATCCCACTGCCTGTTCGGCGTCCGCCTCCTCCATTGCAGCCATATACAACCAGACAGCAAAATGCGCTATTCGCGGTGCATCGCCTTCGTATTCAAGAATATGAAATTGGGGGAGATCTATTTAATTGCAATATAACATTCTTCGTGCATTTCAACCGATACATCGCACGATACGATACAATCCGTAATACAGGCAAAGCAGGCAAAAGTATAATGAATTACAAAGGAGGCAGAAAGTCGTGTGCATATATTATTTATACCGCAGTCAAGACAAAAAGGCAGATACAGAACAGAAGGGGTGGGGAACTGTAAATACCTCTTTCTTTCACCTTGGATATACATTTTTAACTCGGGCTGTCACTTGCAGGAAGAATATGAATGTAATGAGCGAATATGAATGTAATCGGCCGTGATTGCGGAGAAGAGGCAGTGAAGACGGAGAAACAGACGAGCTGTTCCCTGGCCGCTTTGAGTTAGACCGTAATAATGCAGGCAGGGCGCCATGCTGGCCGCAGCCCCTCTAATTACGGCTGAAATATTAAAGTACTTCTCTGGAAGGCGTTTGTAGGATGAGCTCAAATTAGTACTGCTTCTCTGTCTCTGCACAAACAAGCCGGCGTGACAGAGGCGTAGCCGGTGACTAATGGTGTAATGCCGGCCAGTTCGTGCTGGATAGCATCACCTGCGGAGCCAGATCTTTGTTGCTTTTTCTCTGTAGTCTTCAGTACTGCGCCATTCCAGCAGCACGCCCTGCCTGTCCTCCGATCTGGTCAGTTCCCAGTTGTCTTTTATGAGTGGGTCACACCAAGACACAATAAAGGCCACCCTGTCGAAAATCCAGGAAGACTTGGGAAAACAAGGCAAGAGGAAGACATAGGTATGTCATCAGAAAGTGATGTTATGGTGGAAAGAGAGCAGAACACAGCCTCCGGAGGACTGGCCCAAACAGTCCTGGGAGCACATGGGCGGCCAAGGCAAATGCCTGCCTGGATCCTCTATTGTACTGTTCCCAGTTAACATGACTGCCAGCTGCTTGCACACTTGTAGAGCAGTACCAGAGGCGGGGGGCAGAGTGGCCCTGGGGTCCATCATGGCAGGGCACCCACTGCAGAACTCAGCCCCTCCCCCAGGCCTGCCTGCATATACTACGGAGTGCCTGTTTTGATAAGACGATCATGCAAAATTCGCAACAATATACAGAGATCCCCCCTCTCTGGGTTGGTAGCCCCTCTCTAGCCCCCCCCCAGCTGTGAGACCTCTCCCTGTCCCTGACAGACAGCTGAAGGTCCATTTATTGTCCACTAATGACCCCAGCTTTTTGTTTTTATACGTTCACCATCTCCAGTCACAAAGGCGTTATGGGGGAGGAATCTGTGGTTATTTATTGAGTCCTAACGTGCTTCAGCAGTCCCCCCCCCCCCGCCTCGCAGCCAGCCTGAAGCTTCCCAATGCCGAAAGCAGCAGGCCGTTACAAATATCATACCCAGAATAATCATGTGTTGTTTTCTGCCAAAGAATACGGATTTCTCCATCCTGTATTACTTACGAGGGCGGCCATGGTGCAAGGTGGCTGTACAGAGTCTCTCAGTTGTTGATGCGGTACCACCCCCCCCCCCCCCCCCCCCCCCCCCCCCCCCCCCCCCCCCCGCCCACCTCA